CTAATAATGCTTTCTTCAAGCTTTAATCAACTACTTAATTAGGTAGTTACTTGGGCTATCAAAAATCTTCATACTGCATATCCTTTCTTTTGTTCATTTTGTTTTAATCTATTAAAATATATATTATTGATATAAGTATAAAACTTGGGCACTGTGGAGTATAACTCGCATGTATTTAAAATGCTTACAACGTGCGGGTTTGTCAGTTTCCACTAAACTTGAGAAAAAGCATTATAAAAAGATACGTAGACGACATATTCATTAGTTGTGACAACAACAATGACTAAAATATACTGCTGAAAACATTTAACTGTTGCCATCCAGCAATAAAATTCACTCTTGAAATGGAAAACGGATCAAAAATTCCGTTTCTTGATATGGAACTAACAAAAAGAACTGATGGGAGCCTAAGAAGATCAATCCATAGAAAAGCTACTTGGAATGGTCAACTAACAATCTTCTATGACTGGGTACCTATTCAACAAAAGTGGAATTTAATTAAATCACTTGCCATCCACATCCGACGCATCTGTCGTTTCGATGTTCTAGAAACAGAATTAGATATTTTGAGAGATACCCAATAAGATTCATCGACAAAAATATCAAACCAAGAATTTGGAGAAATGAAACTTCCCCGAAAAAGAAACTCTGCTTGAACTTGGAATTCAATTTATTTTTCCTTCACGTTCCCCAGTGGAACATAGAGCTTCAAGCTAGTGGCTTGAAGCTTCTGTAGCAGTGTTCATTTTACAGGATGGGGTTGCTAGCCTCGTGTCCAACCTTTCCTCCTCACCAGAATTATTTCTGGCTTAGCGAGGTAAAGGAGTGCGCCGGCCGGGGATCGAACCCCGGACCATGTGCATGGTCGGCAAGCGTCCTAACCGCTATGCCACCGACGCACGAACTTGAAATTCAGGAGAGATTTAACAAGCGATATCCTCAAGAGAAGAATTTCATCATCTCTGAGAACATTCTTTGCAGCAACGCTAAGAATAGTGTTCTGCAGTTGCCCACTGATCTGCAGCAGCCTTAAGGACAAGATCCCGAGTCTGACCACTTCTACGTGCATATATCAGCTCACCTGCTGCTGTGGAGCCAGATACATCGGTCGTTCGACGCCCACCTTGTCCAAGAGGACTCAAGAACACTATCCAGCATGGTTGTGAAAAGACAATAGTGGTGCTATAAGGAGTGCGATAATTGAACACCTGATTTAACACTGATCATTCCATTTCAACAAACGCCTCCTTCAAAGTAATCCACAGAGTCAAGCATAACCTATCAAAAGCAATACATTTTCGTCTGCTTTGTAGTGCTGAAGCTCTGGCCATTCTCATAGAAAAACCGGAGCTGTGAATAAAAAGAGAATTACTCAACCACTTCTACTGTCATGGTAAAAACTTTGTTGATTTTCATGACTTAATTTGTTTGTTTGCCTGTTTCTTGAATTGCTTATAATCCTTGTATTCACTTAGAATTCTTACATGATTTCGTATTCTCTACTTTGTTCCCATGTGTATTCTGAGTACAACTCAATCATCAAACTATTCATATTATTACATAACTTCTTTTAACAACTGTTTGTAACAACTCATCACCTTTGTTACTGTCCTAATTTCATTAACACCCAATTTTCTTGACCGATTTTGTATTACGTAACTCCAATTACCAATCTTCACCTGTTTAGTTAAAATAACCATAACCAATTGTATTTTTGTTTGACAAACTTAATGTACACACGCATACAAAACGACTCATATATCTATTTGCGATTGTACAGCTAAGAAAATGAATTCGTCGAACAGAGACTCTTCACTGAACTGCGTGTTTTATTTTCATTAACGCCTGGATGGGGATTATCCATGAATTAAAAAGCATCATCATGAATGATAACGTGTCCCAATACATGAGACAACTGCACGTGAGTTACGTCCTTCGGTCTCAAAATTTATTCATGAACTTTTTATAATTGGCTTTCAACCAAATGTCATGCATTTCTTGAAGGTGACAAAGAAGAAATATCGTAATGGATTGGTTTCCCCATTTCAGATCAGACAGCAGTGTGTCACGCAATATTACTGTCAGTTAATATTTTATTTGAAAATGCTGAACGAAGAGAAAACATTATGGAATTAACTTCGCTGAAAATACTGTACATCATATAAGAACTGTCCAGAATAAAGCTATTACTATTATTATTATTATTACGACTATGACGACGGATTGATATCAGTTAGAGAACTATTGAAAACCAGGGAGTACTGGATAGCTGTTTCATCCTAGTTAGGGAATCATCGGCAGTAAGCACCCACTGGGTTTCGTACCCGGTGGCTGAATGGTATACCAAGTTGCCTTATAACCGGAAGGTCGTGGGTTCGCACCCTGGCGGTGGGTGCGTACTGCTGACGATTCCCGAACTAGGACGAAACAGCTGCACAGTATTCCCTGGTTTTCAATGGTTCTCTAAATGATATCAATCCGTGGTCAAACTCGTAAAAACAAATCTAATCCTTACAAACCAACTCTTGAAAATTATTATTATTTCTAAAGCAAAAACCAGTAACTATGCCAATTGGTGCTGACTAATAATTTTATTTTGTTAACATGAAAAGCATACTAAATAGGAAAGAATTTACATCAAGAATTCAAAAATTATCCGTAGAACTGATCTTGTCATTGCTTCAAGTAACTATATTATCCAGGGTATTTAAATCATTTAGAAGATTTGTTTGAAACGGTAACATAAAGGTGGTGTATGTTTTTAAAAGTAGATATTTCCTTCACGCCAGTACAACACACTTATTTAAATGATTAACACAATAGATATCTCAAGGAAAATGCAATTTTAACAGCAACAAGAAGCATTTCTTGTGTAGTTTTCAGTATATAAATATGTCAGTAAGTAAATGCAGCACCAGATGGTACAATTGCTCAAGAGGGATTTTTAGACTAAGGCTTCAGAATCGCCTTACGCGGTCACATAACAACGGCATTCCTTGACAAGACCTTCATAAAACAAGTTCACTTTGCTGCTGCTGCTGGATTCAACATAGAACTTGGCACCGAAGTGCAGCAGTTCGAGTTGCCACGTTCCAAAGAGCACACAAAGGTAGACAGGAAAATGAGAGAAGAGAATCAATAGAATTTAGATAAGTATAAGAGTGAAACAGAATGAGTAATGGTAGAAAGGAATATGAAAGATTACAGAGACTGAATACATCTGCGCCATTGACAACGATTTTGAGCCATGTCACCTAGTGTCTCCAGCCATTGATTCTTAGAGTCCCGAGGGCCCCAACCCGGAAGTCTGCATCTCCCTACCTGACTCAGTTTAACTGTCAGGGATTTCATGGATTGAAGCCATGTTTTTGTTTGGCCACCACTTACTCTTTTCCAACCTGCACCTATATCAGCTAGTAATGCCCGTCGGGGGAGACGATGGTTAGGCATGCGTAGCACGTGGCCTAACCATCTCAATCTATGTAACTTTATAGCCTCTTCGAGTGATTTTCCCTCTTTGCCCAACACTTTACGCCTAACGTCAACATTACCTACCTTATTATACCACGTAACGTGAGAAAGAGATCGTAAACATCTGTGGTCAAAAACAGACAATCTCTTCATGTCTTCCGCTCTCAATGGCCACGTCTCACCGCCATAGAGAAGGACGGAGCGAACTGATGAGCAGTATACACGTCCCTTGGTTGACAGCCGGATGTCACGCCTACGCCAGAGACGGTGTAAGTTAGCGAAAGCAGCCCTAGCTTTCTGGATCGGCGCTGAGATTTCGTCACCAATCAATCCGTTGGTGCTGATACAACTTCCCAAATAGGTGAAGTGGTCAATATGTTCTATCACTTCACTCCCTATCACTAAGCTAGGAATTGACGTAGTCCAGTCCTGTAGCAGCATCTTACATTTCACAGGAGCAATCCGAAGTTCACTTTGCATTCACATACAAAGTAGGTATGTGTTTAACAACGGTAATTCTACCTATCAATCTTTGTTGCTAACTCCACTTAATCCTTCCTAGCCTAGTTAACAGAGACTTTGTTAGACGGCGAAGGGCACTAAAAGCTGTCAGTAGGGTGAGTGGAGTGTCATTAAGCCAACTTGTTAATACTGTTGTAGATAGGCAATTGAACTGATGCAAGAAGTTAGTGAATATTATCTTGCATTTCATCACACAGGTAGTGAAACGGTAGAAGACGAGAGAGACTTGGTAAAGGAATGTTTATTGGAAGATTCGTATCTCTATATAGCCAAATTATGTATACTACCTTATCTTCAACGCACCATCTGCACAGATCTCGTGTGTGTGCTACATCCCCCCCCCGTCCAAATTGTGTTTCTTTGTGTTCCTTTCACGTCCCCCATGTGTCTCCACAACGCTGTATCATTCGCCTTCTCTGAAATCAAATGTATCTCCCTGCTATTTGCTGTTTTTCTGCCGATGAACGTCTCTTTATATACTACTGATAAAGCTTATCAGTAGCACTCGCCACAGTAGGACTAAGAGCAACTATAGAAGACTTTATGCTCGGACGACTAAGTATAAAATCTCTACAATACCTTATTTAGCTGGCACACATTTTGATGTGATGAGAAAAGTGTAAGACATGACACTACCAGCTTACTACGAAACACTACAAGAACAGTCCTCTTTACTCTTTCTTTCATTATTCTATTGTTGGCAATATTTCCACTTAAATTTTAATTTTATATTCATATACTTATCTAACAATATTATCAGTGTAAATGGCCTGTTTAATTATTTACAATTGTACTTTATAAAGCGAAAATTAGATGCAATATTGTACTACATCCTGAAAATTACATATTTGTAACAAAGGCACTGTTGGGAATACAGCCATTATTATTATTATATTATCGTCATTAAGAAAGGCTAATTTCAAAATCACATTAACATAACAGGATGTTTTAAATAATGAATATGTAAAATATATTTAAAAGTAGTACAATAAAACAAAACAACTAACCAGAAGATGTTCAAGTAAATTTGTTTTCTGTTGACCAGTCAAGTTATTTGATAACTTTTTAATAAGCTGAAATTAGACAAGGAAACAACAGTGAATGTTAAGTAGGGGATAACAACATAATCAGTACTAATGAATAAAAGTTATTTTTTAAAAAGGAACACCTTCAGAGAATACAATATCTACTGAACAGAACTTTATTTGAATTACTTCAGTGTCTGAATTGTACACGGTGAGCGCGATTCATCGCCAAATAGCAAATGGGCTGGAGGAAATCCAGTTGATGAATGTGTAGATGACTGGTATACAAATAAGCACCATGGCAGGGCCACTTTGTGGAAGTTAGCTGATGTGCGAGTGACAAAAGCACGAACCATTGATCCACTCATTCTATCCATACACTCTACCAGGCCATTCGCCTTGTGGATGATGAAGGATGGTGCGTGTGTGTCTCTCAGATCTCGACAGAGAATAAACCTAGACTATCACTTCTTCACCAGAGTATAAGGTTACTGGAGAGCCATACAATGCTACCCATGTGTTGATATAAGTATAAAACTTGGGCACTGTGGTAGAGTATAACTCCGTTATAGATAATCACACAGTGTTGTACAGTAATATTTACTGATGATTTTCGAGTCCAAATTATTGTTCATAATCATATCACTCACACAAATTGTCTGCTTAATTTATATATATGAGTAAAAATTGACTAGACATTTGAATAAAATCATTGTAAGGTATAAGATATGATTATGAGCAATAATTTGTGCTCGAAACGTCATCAGTAAATATTACTGTACAACACTGTGTGATTTATCAAAATAAAATCTTATAAATGGATTTCTACCCATGTGTTGGTGAACGCTTTCTCTAAGATAACTGCATCTTGTTCAGGGATTGGTACCGCTTCTTATCAGTTGGCATAATAATTGACCACGACGAAAACATGTCGATTATCATTTTCGGTTGCTGGTAACAGTCCTATAAATTCAATTCTGACGCGTTGGTGTGCTCCTGGTATTAACACCATGTCCACATTCCTGATGCATTTTTAACACGATATATTGCACTTTCAACTATGAGACACTATTACGAGGTGTTTTAGCTGGTTCACTTAAATATAGGAAATTGTTTACCAACAGTACATGTCCCAGCTTGACACATATATAACGTGACACGAGTGACATGTCCTTCATTTCTCAACTCAACAGTTTGTTATTCGCGTTCATAAATATTTTGAGAGTCAGCTGTTTGAAAAGAGGCCCAGTCAAATTCATCAGTGACAGTAAATAATGCGTTCAGCGCCCCGCTGGTCTCTGGAATACACCATAAGGCAGTTTCTTGGAGGTGTGACACCCCTCCCGATGTTCACAAAAATTTCGAAGCTAATGCAACGCTGTGATCTTTCCTTACCTGAAATTTGAACCTCAACAGATAGTGTCGAAAATTATTTAGAAAGGATACAAAAGGCTAACATCTCGCGATGGATCGTAAAGTAACGGGGTGTAGCTTTTATCCACAATGATCTGTTATCTCTACACAACCATAAAAAGGGATACAATGACTTTTTTGTTCCAGGTTAATACATTTCCGTAAATCATAAATAGAAACAGAAAACAGAAGCAATTAAACTGTCAAAAAAAGACATAAATAGTGAGTCTAAAAACTGACTTAACACTTAACTACAAAAAGCAAGAACAGAACAGACTAGGCTACCAGAAATAAGTAAAAAGAAAGCCCATCATACTTCAATTGTCAAGGGAACAAATCAATTGAAATGTCAACAAAAAATTTTGTCTAAAATTCCTATAGCCTCAAAATGACAACACACAGCATACATTGTTCTTATCACAGACACTAAACATAAAACCATCACAGAATTATTCTGCACAGACATGCATTAGACTAAGCTGACAAACACTTCGGAAGAAACACACATGAATGAACATTATAGAAATGGAAAAATAGTAGAACCAAGAGACTTGAGTACGGGAGAAAGAATAACTCAGCGAAGATAAGAGAAAATGTTCACAACTCTAGGGGTTAAAAGTAAACATGTCTGTGTTATTGGAAACGATTTTGAGCCATGTTGTTAAGCATTTAAAACCAGTGATTCTTAGAATCCTGAGACGCAACCAAGCAATTTACATCTCTTTACATGACTCAGACCAACAGTCGATGATTTCATGAGCTGAGAACAGGTATCGATCTAACCACCCTTCGATTTTGCAAACCAAACTCTTCTTTAACGCGTATAACACATGTCCCAGACATTTAAACTGAAAGATTCCTGACTTCATCAATTACCTTAATTTTCCTATTTAATACATTACCTAATGTTACCGTTACTTAAATTGTGCGAAAAGAAAATGAATTAGGACACATCCAAAATACGCTGTTCCAAATGGGTTATCCTAGTAGATTTGTAAGGAGACACATGAACACCAAGTACAATAAAGAAAGACTGATAACAGTTAAAAAGAAATAACTGTTCATGAAATTGCAATTTAATGGGAAAGTGGCTAGTGAAGTCTTACATCTGAGATTATCGACAGTAATAAGATGGACTTATACTGCCACCACCCTTTGTTTGTCATTTTCCAGCCGACCAATTATGATTGCTCAAGAGAAAGACAAGCTATGCCACTTCTATGTGTATCCAAAAATTTAGTTGCTCCTGTGGAGACAGTTATATAGGGAGAACAACTAGACAACTTAACAAACCCATAAATGAGCATCTTTCCTCATGGTTCGGAAAAGACCAGATAGAATCTATAAGAAGTTCTATTTTGACTCACTTGATTGATGATAGAGGTGACAAAGTGGACAGAAGAAGTGCCTTCAAAATTATCGATCGCATTCCGTCGAGCCTTTCGAACGGAATTCGAACCCACCTTTTACACATAGCCGAAGCTATGGGAATTAATTCGAGAGAACAATCCTAGTCTTTGCATACAAAAGAAGTTTGTTCTACCTTTGTCTCTCCCTTGACCTAGGTGAATTCTATTCAAAACCCTCCAACCCTTTCTTATTTTCCATCTCCTTCCTACTTTTATGATATTTATTTAAACTCTGATTATCTGTCCACTTCACCTTTAGTATTACGTAACTTCTAAGATTTGACCTAATTTATTTATTGAATTGTCTACATATACACATATTACTACCTTTGTTATTCTTATCGCCACCTGCATAAACCTTATTATCATTATTTTGTTATCATTATAATCATCGTTTTTAACTAAGTTGAAAACATTTACCATATTATTATCATTATCTGATCCACAAAATCACCGTCACTGGTTAAAATTGTTATATATAAATCTATGTAAATTAGAGCAAAGCCTGAAGAAGATCTAATCGAAAACAATATTGTTCGCTTATATGTCTTGTTCTAAGAAGAAATGGAGACAATTGCTGACAGTAATCAGTTGCCTTTTTATTTCCTCTCCTGTCAGCAGCCGTGCATCACAACAGTGAAGTAAGACAGAATGGACTGATAAATAATACAAATACCTTTTGAGAGATATCGGCGCCAAAATGTGGAGCAAACAACACATTTAATTCAAGAAATATGGCATTTCTGTACGGCACAGAGCTATCGAGGAGTGGAGATTTGTAGCATCTTCCAAATTTGAAACCTCTCAGATATTTTCCTACTTGTCTCGTTAGTTATCATATAACTATGGATCCTAGAATTATAGGTACCATTCCAGTGGTTATCACAAAGTTTATGTGGTGAGATTACTAGATTGATAATAAAGATAAACTTACAGTATTGGATGGCTGTGTTGCAGATGCTAAGTTATTATTTACTCTCACCATACTACATTCACTAGACCGAGACTTGGTACCAATCCACAACATCTTTGAATATGTATCTAAGTTTCCCAGGATAGTGGAAGTTTTTTAGTTGGGGTCAAGATAACCGTATACGACTGTAAGGGACTCTGAGAAAAAATACAGTTGTTCGTCGCTTAATAAAGATAATGCATCCAAATCGTAATAATGTATATTATCATTAACTTGGTCGCCTCTTCTTACGACTGCAGACATTATTTTTCATTCATTAACTTCTGATGTGATATAATGATGAAGTTTGGTCACCTTGACTGCTTAGTCCAATGTGCAAAATAAATAAAATCTAGCTACTTCACATTGTGGCGTGTACTACTGACAAGATTTATAAGTAGTATATAGATGCAGATGTGTATGAAACGCAAGAATATAGAGTAGCAGAGAGATAGATTTAATGAACAATGCTTGTGAAACAGCATGAAGAACATGAAAGGAGGACGAAGAAGCACTATACGGATTACAAAGCAGCACAATACCGAAGATATGTGCAAATCGTGAGTTTAGTGTATGGTAGATGTTTTTTGCCTATATCTGTATATCGAATTGCCAATAAATAATTCCATTACTGAATTCTCTTATCTTCTGATGTTACAATGTAAGGTGACACAAGCAAGATTTTGTTGGAAAAATACTTATTCACTCTAACCAGTTGGTCTTTATCTACAGAAATGTTTTTTAGGCCATTGTTGTTCACTTATTTCCCTTCAAAGTATATTTAATATCCATCTTGGTTACTTTAACATTTTTTTAAATCTAATAGTTTTTTTCTATGTCTTAGTCGCAGCTTTATGTGAAGTTTCACGTTGTTTTATTTGTGCCTGTACTACTCATTTTAAGTTTCAATTAGGTTAGTAATGCCATTGCTGAAAGAAAAATGAACAAGGCTTCCTACCGATTGACTCCAACCATCTAATACTAACAATTCACAGAGCATCGTGATGGCGAGCCATCTAGGCATGGTGACCACTTTGCAAACTTGACTGATAGAATTCAGTCTACACCAAAGATAGGACTAGACACATTACACTAGTTACTGACTAGTGTCCAATCAAAAAGTAAAATGAACAACTTAACCGTAATTATGAGGTTATTATTATTATCCAAACTTCTACAAAATATAGGTTGTTCCATGCGTGTTCTGATAAAATACGTTGAAGAAAGCCGCTCACAGTTTGAATGGAAAGAAGTGGAAGTGGTTCTGTCGGAAG